CGACCACGTAGTAGTTATTTGAATATTTTAAATTTGGCAACTGTCGTCTTCAAATATTGATCCACATTTAAAATATTTGATTATATTCCTACATATTCCTATGACAGTTAGTGATGTTTTCTAAGGCATTATCAACTTAAATTAGGAAGAGCATGAGCCATGACTTTAAGGAAAAGAGGATTAAGGATGTGATTGTGATGGAACTAACAAGAACAAAACCCCAGAGGATGTCATGCTAAAAATATACAGACATATTGGAGCTTTCTCGGTCGCTGTCTTTCTCTGCTTCTGGAGTGTAGGCAGATATCCGTAGATCATGAAGATGAGAGGCAGAGAGCAGAATAGAAGTAGCTGAGAGTCCTTGGAAGAATTATACATTTCCTCTCATTTGTTTGGTCAATTGTCTTTATGGAAAATGACCAAAACTTAGAAACAACATTCTGGCAAATAGGAATAGATTGTATTGTTGGGATGAATAGTTGACCAATGCTACTAAAGCTATAAAACTGTGATGGAACTAACAAGAACCAAACCCCAAAGGGTGTCATTCTAAAAATTTTCAGACATATTGGAGCTTTCTCTGTCACTGTCTTTCTCTGCTTCTGGAGTGTAGACAGAGATCCATGGATCATGGAGACAAGAGTCAGAGAGCAGAACGGAAGTAGCTGAGAGTCCTTGGAAGAATTATACATTTCTTCTCATTCATTTGGTCAATTGTCTTTATGGGAAATGACCAAAACTTGGAGAGAACATTCTGACAAATAAGAATAGACTGTAATTGTTGGGATGACTAGTTGACCAATGACACTAAAGCTATAAATTATTAGAATTGATTTGCTTTTTAATTTCAGAGGTTTGAGGTAAGTTAAATAACCATTTTAATCAAACATCAAACTCCAATACTTAATTTTGAAGTGATAGAATACAGTTAAGAAATAGTGGGAAAAGAGACTTTTACTTTTTCAACACTTTCCTTAAATTATTTACTAAGTTAAACCTTCTGAATATTTGAACTGCATCAATGGAAAATATTTTACTTTAAATATAATGTTGTTTCATGAACAATATTTTTTAAGAGGACAGTATATGGATTTCTTTCTTACAAAGCATCCCTTTTATAAGGAAATCTGTTATGTAGACGTTACTCCATGACCAAACAATGGTTAAAAACCCATGATTTTGAATTCAGATATAGTTGTTTGTTTTTTAACAGCGTCTGCCAGTTGCTAGATGTACAAACTTTTACCATATAGTTAAATTCTTTGGAATTTAGATTTATTGCATCTAAAATAAATTTACTAGTACTAAGCTCATAGTTTGTTGTGAAGAGGAAATACTCTATGCAAATGATTAGCAGAACCCACAAGTTAAAATAAGAGCTCAATAAATGGTAATTATTCATATTATACTCTATATACTTTCATCAGTTTTATAGAACAAGGACTGTGACATAAATGAGACAATGTAAAATGAGATTTGCTACTATACTAGACAAAAGCAGGATTATTACAAAAAGTAGTCTTTTATGTGATTCAAAATGACTCAGTCTTTGCAATCTCAGTTCTCGAAAGAAAGAATTTTTAAAAGTACATGGATAAATACAATTCAAAATTGCAAAAATCTATAATAATAAAAGTGTAATATGCAAATTGAATGAATGGCAAAACAGAGGAACAACTGTCCAGACGACCTTCCAGATGAAGCCAGGGCAGGGCTGTGAAGGCCTAGGCAGCCAAGGCTGCGAAGGCCTACTCTTGCATGAATTTCATGCATCAGGCCTCTAGTTTATATATAAGTATGTGCACATACACAAAATGTGCATTCAGAGAAAGACAAGTATCACATGATCTCACTTACTAGTATATGTGGAATCTAATGAATAAAATAAACTGATGAACAAAATAGATCCAGAGACATGGAAGCATACAACAGACTGACAGATTTCAGAGCAAGGGAGGCAGGCAGGAAGAGGTTAACCAAATAACATATATGCATAACCCATGGACTCAGACAATAGTGTAGTAAAGGCCTGGAGAAAGGGCAGGAGCATGGGGTGTAGGGTCAATAGGGGGACAAAGGGGGGAAATCTATGATACTTTCAACAATAAAGATAAATTTTAAAGAAGAAATACAAAAAAAGTACATGGATAAATATAATTAAAAATTGCAAAAAATTATATGTAAGTATGTGCACACACACATACAATGTGTGTTCTTTTTGTTTTCCTTTATTCACTCATTACTGAATGAATGTGAGATTCATTCAGGTTGTTATATATAGCTCTATTTCATTAATTTTAATTGTTTCATAGCATTACATTGTATAAACCTATCTCAATTTATCTATTGCATTTCTGGTAGTAGATTTCTAGTTCTCTACGAGTTTGGCTATAATAAATAGTTAGTCCATGAAGGTTATTACACATGGGTTTTGGGGAACAGATGTAATCATTTCTGTTGGACACATTCTCAGGAAAGTTCTGGGTTATGAATGCCTTAGACTTGGATCTGCTTTGGCTTGAACATCTGATAGGCTGCCGATATCATTATTGCTATCATTTACTCATCACTTACAATGTTCCTCACACTGAGATAATGATGGTAAGACAATGGTGAGCCAAATGCAGTTGACCCCTGAACAACAGGGGTTTGAGCTGCATGGGTCCACTGTTATGCATATTTTTTCAATAAGTACTGCAAAATGTTTTCTCTTTCTCATGATTTTCTTAATATTATTCTTTTGCTTACTTTATTATAAGAGTACAGTAAATAATACATATAACATAGAAAATATGTGTCCATTGACTATGTTATTGGCAAGGCTTCTGGTCAATATTAGGCTATTATTAATTATGTTTTTAGGAAGTCAAATTTATACATTTATTTTGAATACATGGGGAATGGGTGTCCCTAACCCCAGAAATAATGTTGAAATTATAGAAGCTAAACCATCCCCAGAAACCTGCTTTCAGGCAGCCGGGATCTCAGAGCTGGAGTTGCAACAGTGTTACAATTATAGAACCCAAACAAACCCAGGACTTAATTTTTCAATGATTATAAGTAAATGTAACAAAGGATGTATAAAACACTATAAAGAGACAAAAAGGCACTATGGTAACTAAGTGCACAGATATTCACTGTGAGATATGCTAGATTCTTGGATTGGAAAACATAATGTTACAAGCATTGAGTCTCCTCAAATTGATTGATATATTTAATGTAAACCAAATCTATTTCCTATAATATCCCGGCAGCATGTGTGGGTTTGTGCAGAATTTGACACACTGATTCTAAAATGCTAAGGGCTGAGGCTAGCCCAGATACTATTAAAAATGATAAAATACAATGTGGAAGGATCTGATTTCCCAGGTAACAAAATGCACTATAAGGTGCCAGTAAAGGAAAGTGTGGTAATCATCCAGGGATTGACCAGCAAACAAACTGAACACAATAAAAACATAGGAGCAGATCCATGACTTCATGACCACTTGCTAGATGAGATGTGTGGCAGGGCAGGTCCCTGGGAAAAGGAAGGGCTTTGCCAGAAATGGTGCTGGCACGATTGAGTAACCACATACATACACATAGAAAACAAGATTCCTAGTGTATTCAAGACCCAAGTGTCAGGGGCAAAACTATAAAGCTTTTAGAAGATATGAAGGGGGAGGATTTTGAAAGTAATGTGTAAAATTATAAGTTATAAAAGAAAACATTGATAAATTTGACTAAATTAAAATTAAGAATGTGTATTATTCAATAAAGAGCATAAAAAGGGTGAAAAGACAAGACAGAATTGTCTTCTACTCAAAGACATTTTATTTGTGTGGTTATATTATTGTCTATATGTGTTACATTAGAACTTAAAACTGGGAATTTATTGAATATTTATTTCTAATTCACATTTCCATTATTATATTTTAATATGAAGAATGTCTTTTATGATAAATAACTATCTTGTATAAGACATAAAAATAGTGAAGAGTAGCCATGTTTTACAGTTTTGAAAATTTTCCAGTATTTGGTTTAACAAAGGACAAGTGGCTTTTATTCTTCTGCATTCTGTCTGTTGTAGCATCACATGTCATTTTGCCTCTAGAACTCCACTGTGCACTCAGGAGAGAGTGAGGATGAAGAAGGCAGAAAGTGTATACATGTTATTGTGAAAGTAGTTTTGACCTCATAGACCCTTTGAAAGGTTCTCAGAGATTCTCAGTGGTCCTTGGAGCACACTCAAAGAATTCATAACAGTGTGCTTAAGCTTCAATCTCCACATCTGTAAAGTGAAAATTATAATCAGATGGAACTATGTGGTCAATATATGGTATTTAGCACCTTTTCTAAAACATAAGGACTCAATCATTGT